AAGAGAGCTATTGGCCGAAAGTGGTGAAGTGCCGAATGAGGTTTTCTCCAATGAAAAAACATTCGTTGTCCAGCAGTTTGTGCACAAACAAAATGATCGTGTTTACTTGTCAAAGAGGTCAGCTGAAAATGTGCACCTTCGGTTGGCCACCAGAACTCAAGCGCCGGCCATGGTTATGGTATGGGCCGCCATAACAACCGATGGTCGCTCTCCGTTCGTATTAATCGATCGTGGCATCAGAATATCTGCCGAATATTATCGCGAAAATATTCTGGAGGATATATTAAAGCCTTGGGCACGCAAACATTTTGGCCGCAGACCTTGGACATTAACCCGGGAATGGGTCAAATTACCGCAGAGCAACATTCGGGCAGGATGTGACGGTTCCATTGGTCGTTTGGAGGCCATATCTCGTTCAAATTCGAACAAATCTAAACTTATTCTAAAATATGGTGCTATTTCCGACATTTTTTTTCACTTATAAATTTAAAAAAAAATATATATTAAAAATTATGGCGTTATCAATCATCTTACAACGTTGTAGTTCTCGATTATCTCCAAATCAGCTACCACCGGAACACCAACAACGTGATTCACAATTACCTACAAATAGTGTACAATTCTTTTATCAACATCGCAATTGCAATTCCAATAATTTCCGAACACCCAACAATCCTAACACCTAATCGTATTTCTGGATAAACAATATAGTACCCGCTTATCTCCGAATCAACTGTCATTCGAATATCAACATCGTACATTCAGACCTACTACCATTCATCTGTCAACATTGCAGTTCACGTCATCTGTAATCAGAACGTTTACAACGTAATGTACCTCCAAAACATCTGCAATCCACTCCGATTTACAAAATACATTCAATCGGGCAACAACAACTTTGTGTTTACCGATTAACATTGTATCTACAAAGTGTCAACCATCCGAATTCCCATTCTACTATAACTCTTCTACAACCCGAATATAACATTATGCATTCCTATCAGGAACATGTAGAGAGTTTTCGATTTTTCCAAAGCTTCGACAATCAAAGGCAGAGCTCCCGAATGTCTCTAAATCTTAAACTTGAAAAAAAAAAAAAAAAAAACAAATAAAAAAGCAGGGCCGAACTTGGGATATTCTCCACCAATTAATTGGATGAATTTGGAAATATTCAAAAAATAAAAATTCTGTTAAAACTTAAAAAATACCGAATATAGCCGTTACATTGGGGACGTGGACCTTTATAGATAACTTTTGTCATAGGCCATTACAATATTCAAATACGAAACTTGAAAGAAAAAATACCGAACATAGGGAGGTACCGTTATATCGGGGCTATACGAGTACCTGGACTTGCATAGACAAATTTCTGACTGTTGTTCCCATTACGAACTCTAAATATGAAATTTGAAACAACTTCGGTGAATAATGACGCTAAAATCATCAAAAACCGAATATAGTGAGATACTGATATGTGGGAACTATACGAAGACCTGGACCTGCAAAGAATATTTTCTGTATATACTGTAGTTCCCATTACGAACTTTTAATACGAAATTTGAAACATCTCAGGTTAATAATGTCGCTAAAATCACAAAAATAGCAAATATTAGGAGGTATCGTTATATGGAGGCTATACGAAGACGTGGGCCTACATATACAATACTTTGTCATAGGCTGTAGTTCCTATTACGAACACTAAATATGAAATTTGAAAAAAAACTCTGGTTAATAATGTCCCTCAAATCGTCAAAATATCGAATATCGGGGGGTAGCGTTGTATGTGGGCTATACGATATCGTGGACCTGTAAAGACATTTTTCTAACAGGGGCTAAAGTGCTTCGAAAGAACTTCTAGCTCAAAATACCGATACCGGGAGGTATCGTTATATGGGGGATATACGATATCGATATAGAAATACTCCTCCAGGGGGTAAAGTATTCAGAAGGAACTTCTTTTTTGATTTTCAGACTATTTCATTGAAAAATTTGGCTACAATCATCAAAATACCGACATATCCCATCTTCGAACTTGACCTGCCTGCAGACAAAAGACTATTCTGTGCAAAATGTTAGCTTTCTATCTTAACGATAGCTTCCGATCACGAATATATATACTTTGTTATGTCTAAAATTATTATTTCGATGAGTTACAAACGGAATGACGAGCTTAATATACCCTTCATACTATGTATAGTGGAGGGTATAAAAACAACTCTTTATAACCCTCTGGCTCGCACATTATTCTATTTCACATCCCATCTTCTATCCATACTATCGCAGTTAAAATATACGTCATACGCCAATGAGATTTTCATTGTTGTGCCCTAAAGTATGCTATATTTTGTTTGATATTTCTATAAACAGCCATTGGAGATATGAGCACAGTGTTGAAAGACCATTAAATAGTTGAATTCATTATGAGAGCGCAATCAATGATGTTCGCATGTTATGACTACATGAAATAATATACTTTTTTCTATCGCTTTTTTGACAGTAAAAATTTCCGCTTGGAATAAACTACAGTCGTTTCTAAGCTTGTAAGATTATCGAACATTAAGAGTGTCACAGAAGACACCAGCTCCCGTTCCGCATTCCCTCTTTAAACCGTCGGAATGGACGCAGAAAGCTGGATTGTTACGGGACCAGGTGTCACTATCAGGTATGGATGGATATGGATGTCAGGTGGGTCAAAGCACAACCGTGGTGACATATAATCACTAGTGTAGGCTTCCTCTCCCACATTCCTTACACGCCCTAGGATCGGTTTAGTTCTTTAAGTTTACGTGCACACCTAATTGTCTGTTCCTCTAAGTGTACGCTTAGTGGGCTTAAGCACAGAAGTGCAGTGCAGCTTGAGGTGTGCTCTTAAATGCACCCGTTATTAGTAGGGATGTGGTTCGTTGCACTTTGTCAACGTGACGTAAGTAAGATGATTTCCTCAAGGAATGGCACCAGAATATAACTCCATAGGTTAGGATGGGGCGAACCCTTTGAGGTAATATGAGACTTGATTGTAATATGTGACCATTCCACTCCGAAATTTTTGTTTTCTGAAAATTTTTGCAGATTTTATATCGAAAAATTATTTGGCTTTGAACGAAGTATAACTTTGAAGAGTACTGGGGAATAATTTCGGAATCAAAAAGACTTGTAGATATTAAAAAATGTGTATCCCTCCTGACCTATGTCTGATAGAATATTACCACATAAAATTTAGTTTTTAGGGGGTTCCGTTAAAATTTTGCCCTGTCCATCCGTCCGTCTGTTGTAATCACGCTAGAATCAAAACGAATTAATAAATAATTTGCATAGATCTGTCTTTTGTCTGCAAGCAGGTCAAGTTCGAAGATGGGCTATATCGGTCGATATTCGGTATTTTGACGATTGAAGCCAAATTTTTCAATGAAATGGAAGAGTACAGGGTGAGATAAAAAAAAAACTGCAACAAAGTCAAACGCCATACATTTTTTTTTTTAAATTTTATTGAATGGAAGCAAAAAATGTCGCGATAATATTCGTCATTTAGTATAATTAATCACGGTCGATTAATACGAGCGGAGAGCTACCATCGGTTGTTATGGCGGCTCACAACATCACCATGGCCGTCGCTTGAGTTCTAGTGGCCAATCGAAGGTGCACATTTTAAGCTGACCTCTTTGTAAGTAAGTAAACACTATGATTTTGTTTTTTACAAACTGCTGGACAACAAATGTTTTCTCATCGGAGAAACCCAAATTCGGCAGTTCACCACTTTCTACCAAGCGAAACAACTCTTTAGCACTTTTGTGTCTGTTTTCTTTCTGTTGCAGTGTATGTTCTTGCACTTTTTGGAATTTCAATGGCTATTTGCATATATTCTGCATATTAATGATTTTAGCTACATTGTTCAATGGAATTGTCTAAAAAATCCATCCTAGAAGTTATTTCTAAGCATTTTACCCCCTGAAAGAGAAATGTCTTTGTAGGTCCACGGTATCGTGTAGCCCACATACAACGGACACCACCCCCCCCCCCCCCCCCCATTATTCGTGATTTTGTTTCTAACGTCGTAGATACTACAGTCTATGACAGGAAACTGTCTATTCAGGTCAAGGCCTTTTTATAGCATCCATATAACGGCTATTTTTAAGACGTTAGTCAAATTCAAAATGTTAACATTAACATCAAAATGTTAATTTTATATTTCGGAATGTTCATAAGAAGAAAAACGCCTCTCATAAATAGCTGAAGCTAACCCCATTTAACAGAAGTCCTCTAATTAAGAGCCCAGCTTAAAGTTTTAAATTACCACTTTTAGATTTTGACCAACCCTGATCTATGACTTATTTACTGACCCATAATGTAAATAGGAAACCATGTCTAGCTCTTGTCATCGCCAATGAATCTAAATATATAGATTCAGATAACAAATGCTTTCTTTAAGAACCCTTGAGACATGGGCGGCACGTATACCCTGTTCCGATAACACAACAATGTAAACAATTAATCTTATCGATGTCAAAACTAATTCCATTATAGTTTCCAAATAACTAATTCTTTTAATTACTTAAGTTTGTTATAACATTTCAAATTCAATTTTGAACACCTGTTCCCTTCGTAGGGTTAATGCCAAAGCAATCTCTTCGTTTGCCACTCACTCTCACTGATAAGCTTTGCGTTTTCTTTGCAATTATTGCAAAACACATTGAATAGTTCTGCAGGTTGATCTTTGGCTATAAATTGACGTAGATTTTGTTAGAAAATCCAATGAATATATATTTTAAGAAATTGTGGGTAGTAGTACTCCCGCATTATCTTATCGCGATATTGGAATATTTCCCTGATATTTGAACGGAACACCTGCATCGATGACTACCCGAATTTTGTTTCTTCGGCGGAATAACTCTGTAAGATTTGATAAATGTTCAATTTGTTTTGCTACCAAGACCATAGATTGGAAGAAAAAAAAAACCGGCAGCATGATATATAAACATTTTATGAGGTACTATTTAAAATAGTCTCATTTCAGATATTCCCAAATAAACATTAGAGAAGTTCGCCACGCTTTCTAGGAAAAAAAACCAAACAAAATGAAATTTTTATTTGTTATCGTTGTTGCTCTAATGATTGCCGGTATTGGCGCCACAAATGTCAAGGAGTGTAAGTTTTAAGGATCGTTAATTAATTTAAAGTGATTTTTTCCCAAAAATCGGAAATATGGTGAAGAATGGGGCGATGGAAAAAAAACCTTTGCAGAAACTTCGACCATTACACAAAAATGTTCCTGAAAGAATTTAAGCTGTGAAAACTATATCCCTTTAAGTGGATCTAAAAAATTTAAGTCAACAAAATTCGGACTTTGAGAAAATTTTAGAAAAAAAAAATTGAAATATGAAAAATGCACTAAAAAATCCGATTGTCCCGAACTAAATACAACAAGTGTGCAAGTTGTGTGTCTAATCCAATATTTGAGTCTGTTTCCATTGTGTACGTACTACGTAGGGAGGGCCAATTTACATTAGGTAAGCCACAGTTAACCCTATGGTGAACCTATTCCCGGAAGGTGAGCTAATGGTGGGTCCATTTCAAAAGGTGGGCCCATGATCCAATGTCTACAGGTGAGCCAGTGGTGGACCCCATGTCCATAGGTGAGCCAGTGGTGAATCCTATGTCCATAGGTGAGACAGTGGTGAACCCTATGTCAATAGGTGAGCCAACGGGGAACCTATGTCAGTAGGTGAGCCAATGGGGAACCTATGTCAGTAGGTGAGCCAATGGGGAACCTATGTCAGTAGGTGAGCCAATGGGGAACCTATGTCAATAGGTGAGCCAATGAGGAATCTATGTCAGTAGGTGAGCCAATGGGGAACCTATGTCAGTAGGTGAGCCAATGGGGAACCTGTGTCAGTAGGTGAGCCAATGGGGAACCTATGTCAGTAGGTGGGCCAATCGGGAACCTATGTCAATTGGTGAGCCAATCTGGAACCTATGTCAGTTGGTGAGCCAATGGTGAACCCTATGTCCATGGGTGAACCAATGGTGAACCCTATGTCCATGGGTGAGCCAATGGTGAACCCTATGTCCATGGGTGAGCCAATGGTGAACCCTATGTCCATGGGTGAGCCAATGGGGAACCTATGCCCATAGGTGAGCCAATGGGAAACCTATGCCCATAGGTGAGCCAATGGGGAACCTATGCCCATAGGTGAGCCAATGGGGAACCTATGCCCATAGGTGAGCCAATGGGGAACCTATGCCCATAGGTGAGCCAATGGGGAACCTTTGCCCATAGGTGAGCCAATGGGGAACCTATGCCCATAGATGAGCCAATGGGGAACCTATGCCCATAGGTGAGCCAGTGGTGACCCTATGTCCATGGGTGAGCCAATGGGGAACCCTATGTCCATGGGTGAACCAATGGTGAACCTATGTCCATAGGTGAGCCACTGGTGAACCTATGTCCATGGGTGAGCCAATGGTGAACCCTATGTCCATGGGTGAGCCAATGGTGAACCCTATGTCCATGGGTGAGCCAATAGTGAACCCTATGTCCATGGGTGAGGCAATGGTGAACCCTATGTCCATGGGTGAGCCAATGGTGAACCCTATGTCCATGGGTTAGCCAATGGTGAACCCTATGTCCATGGGTGAGCCAATGGTGAACCCTATGTCCATGGGTGAGCCAATGGTAAACCCTATGTCCATGGGTGAGCCAATGCTGAACCCTATGACCATGGGTGAGCCAGTTGTGACCCTGTGCTCGATAGGGGAGCCTGTGGTGACCCTGTGCTCGATAGGGGAGCCTGTGGTGAATCTATGGTCGATAGGGGAGCCAGTGGTGAATCTATGGTCGATATGGGAGCCAGTGGTGAACCTATGCTCGCTAGGGGAGCCAATTGTGAACCTATATCCATAACCAGTGATGAACTTATTTTCATGGATGATTCACTGATAACCCTATTTCCGTTGGTGAAACTATTTCCATAGGTGAACCACTGGTGAATTTTATTCCAAAGATGGGCTACTGTTGAATCTGTTCCAATATGTGAAGATTTTCTCACAGATGAGCCAGTTATCCTATTTCAATGGATAAACTAGTAATCCGTTTTCAATAGATAAACTAGTGAGCCATTTCCAAAGGGGATCTAGTGGAGCTCCTTAAAAAGGGAACCTCTTGGAATCTCGTGAGCTAGTTTTCAATAGGTGAACTAGAGAATTAATGAGATAAACCAGGGAACCTATTTCAACATGAACCAGTTTCTTGCTAATATATTAGCTATAGAATGTAGAGTGTAGAAAATTAAACCCCAAATAGTATTAAATTTTTACTTTGTATTATTTCTGTCAAAAATTCCACAAATCGTAATATATGTATGGCACTTATATCAGATGTGAAGCTGGATTATATCGACCCGATCTTTTTGGTATATCCAACGCAAAATATTTTTCATTCTCCAATTGTTCTCAAATTCAAATCGCGTAACTTTTACATTAAGATTTCTTATATCCTCTTTATTTTTGTTCATTTCCAGGCAAAAAAGGTCAACCCTTCCCCCTCAGTGTGGACATAGTTGGATGTGATGAAATGCCCTGCAATGTTGTCAAGGGTACCACAGCCGTTATGTATGTCCATTTTGTTGGAAGTAAGTCAAAGAATACCCCTAACATTTCCTTTCCATTATTTCATCCTTCCATATCCTTTCTTTTGTTTAGCCAAGGATAACATTCGCAAACTGAATGCTGTCGTACATGCCACCACCTTGGGCATAACTGTTAAATACGATTTACCCGAAGAGGTTTCCAATGTTTGCGATAATCTCATGTACGGTGCCACCTGCCCCATCGACAAGACCGAAGATGTGGTCTATGCTTTCAATTTTTACATTGACTCCAGCTACCCAGAGATTTCGGTCAGTGTTCAGGTGTCATTGAATGATGAGGAGGACGATTCCATTGCCTGTTTTGTTGCCAACATCAAAGTGAAGAGAGGCTCCACCAACACTCCTTTGTTGGAGAATGGATCAGCGTAATTTTTGTCAAAAATAATAATGTATTAATTAAGAAGTTTTTATAAATTAAAAAAAAAAAACAACAACAACTAAAAACAAATTTTACTGAATCTGGCAGTGATTAGTTGTAGAGGCTATTGTATTATTAAATAAAAAGTAAAAATACATAAAAAATAGTAAGTTATGCTATTTAAAATTAATCACAATCTGATTTATAAGTATATAAGTATAAAAAGTGTTACGTTTTTTAGTAGTCCTTAAAGTACCAAAGGGAACTAGAAAGATACATTCATTAGAATTTTCTAAGGTAAAGTCAATTTATAGATGTACAAAGAGTATTTAAATGTATAAAACACCTTACCATGGTATATAACAATCGCGAAGAGATGGAACTCTGTATATAGGTTTGGAGGTATAGGAGTAGTGAAATAACTGGCTGACTGACTGACCGAGAATCAAGGCCCGCCTAGACGAAACGGTTGAAACTAAAAGGATACGAAAAGTACTTAAACATACTAAGAATTGAATACAGGGTGAGTGAAAAAAACTACAACCAACTTCAGACTACTGTCATTTCTAAGCCACTCATCCGAAAGCTGTTAAAATTATTCCAGTGACAGCTCATTATATTGTTGAATCGCGTACAAAAGCATTTTGGTGAGAATTTTCCAGAAAAAAGTTATTCGTGATGGAATTCAAGCGTGATAGTGTGATTTCTTTATATTTGGCTGGAAAACCACAAGTGACTATCGTTAGAGCACTTCAGCATTTAAATGTGAATAAATATTTTGTGTCTCGTACCATAGCGTAGCCCGACGTCAAGGAAGTGGTCGGGAGAAAAGTAAAGAAGTAACTTGATCGAAACCCAGTGGCCGAATAATGACTTGTGAGCTGAACATATCACAATATTCCATTCGGCAAATATTGAAAAATGAGCTCGGGGTAAAGCCATTAAAATTCCAAACAGTGCCAAAACTTATACTGCAACAGAAAGAAAATAGACCCAAAAGACCTAAAGAGTTGCTTCGCTTGGCCGAAAGTGGTGAACTGCCGAATTTGGTTTTCCCCGATGAGAAAACATTCGTTGTACAGCAGTTTGTAAACGAACAAAATTATCGTGTTTACTTCCCAAAGAGGCTAACTAAACATATGCATCTTCGGTTGGCCACCAGAACTCAAGCGTCGGCCATGGTGATGGTGTGGGCTGCCATAACAGCCGATGGTGGCTCTCCGCTCGTATTAATCGACCGTGGCATCAGAATAAATGCCGAATATTATCGCGAAAACATTCTGTATTAAAGCCTTGGGCACGCAAATATTTTGGCCGCAGACCATGGACATTCCAACAGGACTCAGCACCATCGCACTCAGCACTCGCCACCCAAGAATGGTTACAAAATGAGGTTCCTCGCTTCACTTCCAGCGCACAATGGCCAACAAAATCACCAAATACCAATCCGTTGGACTATTGTGTCTGGAATATTTCGGAAAGCAAAGGTTGGCACTAAAAAATACCAAAGTATCGATCACCTCAGGCAAGCGCTTCGTCGGGAATGGGCCAAAATACCGCAGAACAACATTCGTGCAGCGTGTGACGGTTTCATTGGCCATTTGAAGACCATTATTCGTGCCAAAGGTAACCAATTCTAATAAATCTAAACATATACTAAAATTTGATGCTATTTCCGGAGTTTTTTGCTTTCATTCAAAAAAATTTAAAAAAATAGCAAAATTATGGCTTTGACTTTGTTGCATTTTTTATCTCACCCTGTATATCTTATCACAGTTGCAATGTTTTATTTGTGTTCCCAATAATGGAACACCTGTTTAACAATTGCAATAATTTGAAACAAATTATCTAACGACGCCAATGGTGGTGATTGACTCCAATTACGAACTTTTAATACAAAATTTCAGAGAATTAAGAACAAAATATGACTAAAATCATCAACATTTCAAAAATATTTATTTTCGGTCACTTTTATAGCTTTAAATAGCGAGTTTTATTCAATTCTGTTGCTCGTTACATAATTACATGTTTTTTAACGAAGTTATTATGATTATTCCAAATTATGATCCGTTAGGGCGAGGGATTTTAGAAGAAGTGGTCCTTTATACTCAATTTCAGAATTCCATCTCCAGAGACCTCAATATCAAATTTCGGGTGCCAGCTTTATTCCTTCACCCAATCTTCAATTTAGTACATTTCGTACAATTATAGTACACATTTTCCAAACCACCTTCATATTTCAATTCCAGATACACATTTCGAAAACAACCTCCATATCTCAATTTCAGTTACCAACAATGACATCGATATCAAATTTCGGAATTCCAGGTCTATCCCTTCATCCAATTCCCAATTTAGTACCAAGTAGTACTTTGCGAACAAATATAACAAACATTTCCAAAACCACCTCTATATCGTAACCAAAGACACCAACAGTTACATCTATATAAAATTTCTTCATAGAAGACCCAGAGGTCTTTTCCATTAAAGTCCCAGGGGTCTTCTTCATAGAAGAAACAGGGGTCTTTTCCATTGAAGTTCCAGGAGTCTTTTTCATAGAAGTCAAAGGAGTCTATTACCTTATTATTAGTACTTTTCGTAGAATTAAAGTAAGCATTTCCAAAACCACCCACATTTCTCAATTCCAGGTCCCTTAATATCAAATTAAAGGATTCCAGACCTATCCCTTCACCCACAACCACCATCAACTCTTAAACACAAATAGCATCGGTAGTCAAAATATCAAATTTCAGAATTTTATCTCTATCCCTTGAACCAAGACCAAATTAAGTACAATTTAATACTTTTCTTACAACTATAATACACATTTCCGAAACAACCTACATATGTCCAGGCTACACAAAAACCAAATTTCAGATTTTAAACACCAATACCAAATTTTACCGAACATAGTATTATCAGTATTATTTAGTAGATTTCGTGCAATTGCAGTATACTTTTCCGTAACCACCTCTGAATCGCAAAATTTTAAAATTCCAGCTTTATCCGTTCACGCTAAATCAAACTATTCCTAATTTAGTACCACTTAGTACACATAAGAACAAATTTGTATAAAAAACTTGCATCGAACAATTCAACAGATATCTTATTTCCAAATTTTACGATACCAGCTCTATGGTTAACCCAAAATTTAAATCATACCAAATTTTGTACCATTTAGTACACATAAGTACGAATTTCCAAAACTTCCTACATTCCTTAGACCTAGAGTTTAATTTAAGAATTTAATAGTAATCTTTCTAAATTTCCGAATTTCAGCGGTATCGGTTCTCCCAAAACTGAAATTGTAAAATTTAGTACCATTTTGTACACAGAAGTACGTATTTTCAAAGACTTCCTTCATAATGCACCAAATCTGAATAAAATCGGATGTTAATTTAGCGTTTTATGAGCTTCACGGATATTTATAATTTTGACCCTTTTTGGGGTGGTACTAGGAGTAGTTGACCGATATATCCCATCTTCACATCAGATCTTGTGTTAGTATAAATAATGAGATGTGTGAAATATGGAGACAGCCAGATGCTTATTTCGGATTTAATGATCGTTTTAATTATTCAAAATTTGGACCCTTTGCGGGGGAGGTTCCAAAATGAGTGGACCGATATATTCCATCTTCACACCTAGAATTTAATAGTAATCTTATTTCTAAATTTCAGAATTCCAGTTCTATCGGTTCTCCCAATATTGAAATTATATAATTTAGTACGATATAGTACAGATAAGTACCAAAACTATCTATATTTCTCAGGTATATAAATCAATAGTAATCTTATAATTTTAGTTTAAAATTTCGGGATTCCGGCTTCACCCCTTCCTCAAAATTCAATTTGTACCAAATTAAGTAACATTTAGTACTTTTCGTATACGTGACTATACAATTCCAACACTTTCTCTTTACATCGACCCTACTCCTCAACCTTGATTCCTGTTCCAAATTTCATGTTTCAAGCTCTTAACGTTCACACGAAACGTAATAATGCCAAATGTAGCACATTTTAGTACTATTCATACGCTTATAGTGCGAATTTCCAAAAATCCGTTGGTACATCCATCGTACACTCCATTAGTTAACCTCATTCCAAATGTTATACTTCTACCTCTACTTTTTGCTTAAACATCTTATCAGGTACCTCTTAATACTTTTCGTACCGTTCTGGTACGAATTTCCAAAAAAACCCCAGCGTTATCTGACCCCTTCGGACCAAGAGTGGCCCTCAACCAAAATTTGAAAATTCTAGCTTCAACCGTTTCGTCTGGGCTTAGATGAATCGTTGTGTCTTTTATTTAAATAGATATAAATATTATAAGACGAAAGAAGTCTATACTACATCGGATACACCTCATTACAGGGTGAAATAAAAGTCAAACGCCATAATTTTTACATTTTATTTTTTAAATTTATTGAATTAAAGCAAAAAATGTCGGAAATAGCATCAACATTTAGAATACGTTTAGATTTGTTCGAATTGGTCATCTTTGGCACGAATAATGGCCTTCAAACGGCCAATGAAACTGTCATACTTTGCCCAAATGTTGCTCTGTGGTATTTTGGTCCATTCCCGGCGAAGCGTTTGCTTGAGATGATCGACACTTTGGTATATTTTAGTGACAACCTTGCTTTCCAAACTACTCCAGACACAATAGTTCAACAGATTGGTGTCCGGAGATTTTGGTGGCCACTGTGCGCTGGAAATGAGGCGAGGAACCTCATTGTGTTATTATTCTGGGGTGGCGCGTGTTGAGTGCGATGGTGCTGAGTCCTGTTGGAATATCCAAGGTCTGCGGCCAAAATATTTGCATGCCCAACGCTTTAATACACCCTCCAGAATATTTTCGCTATAATATTACGCATTTATTCTGATGCCACTGTCGATTAATACAAACGGAAGCGAACGTCGGATGTTTTGGCGGCCCACACCATTACCATGGCCGGCGCTTGAGTTCTGGTGGCCAACCGTAGATGCACCTTCTCAGTTGACCTCTTTGGCCAGTAAACACGATAATTTTGTTTGTTTGCAAACAGCTGGACAACGTATGTTTACTCATCGGAGAAACCCAAATTCGGCAGTTCACCGCTTTCGACCAAGCGAAGGAACTCTTTAGCACTTTGGAGTCTATTTTCTTACTGTTGCGGTGTAAGTTATTGCCTTTTTTGGAATTTCCATGGCTGTGACCCGACCTCATTTTTTTAATTTTTGCCGAATGGAATATTGCGATATGTTCAGCTAACGAGCCATTTTTCAGTCACTGCAACACGGGTTTCAATCAAGTCGATTCATTAATTTTCGAACCATTTCTGCTGATGTTGCTGTTTTCATACATCCATTTTCTTGAAGTCGGGCTACGCTATCAGTACAACGGTAACGAGCGATGGTAAGACGCACCAAAGATTTATTCACATTTAAATGCTGGAGTGCTCTAACGATAGCCATGGTGGTTTTCCAGCCAAATATAAAGAAATCACACTATCACGCTTGTATTCCATCACGAATAATTGTTTTTTCGGGAAAATTCTCACCCTAATGCTTTTGTACGCTTGTAAAAAATATAATGAGCTGTCGCTGTAATAATTTTAGTAGCTTAGAAATGACAGCAGTCTGAAGTTGGTTGTAGTTTTTCATATCATCCTGTAGATGTATAGATTATAAGGTGTAAAAAGTCTGTACTATATCATATGCACCCTATTCCTCATTTACACATTAGAACCTGCCCGATATTGACTCCTAATTTCCTGAAAAGCATTTTGTCCAAGAGACATCGGGTCATAAACATTTATGAACGCAACAAATACTATTTATCCGCTGTAGCCATAGAGAAGTGGATGTTTCATAAGTCTTCAGAGTTTCGGTACTAAGCCGGTATTATTTAACATACCACGGCCATAAATATTGGCCCACTGATTTCTTCGGATTAATCAGAGACCTTTTGCTTGATTTTACCGAAAATACACATGAATCATGAACGTACCGTTCGTATGGCACCATCGCAGCGACTGGATTAAATACTATGGCCAACATAATCCCACAAAGCCATGACTCATGCCAATAACCTTCACCTATAAATCTTTGTTTAATCACCAATAAATGTCAGCACACATATCTTATCGTAGGTACAAGGGATCTTGGGGTTCCCAATAAGGCGGACACCTGGCAAACAATCTTAGCAAAATTTCAATACTTGAAAAGTGATATCTGCAAAAATCACTGATTATACATTCTATATATGCTAAGGGACTGCAAAGAAAGGTATATAAATATGAAATATTCATTTTCGATTTTAAAGCATTTTTTGCATTTGTTCAGTAAACATCGAAAATGTTGAAGTTATTGCTGGCAGTTGTTGTCCTATTGATTGGTGGAACTTCGGCAATAAATGTTCAAAGCTGTGAGTAAAAAATAGGACGATAATAATTAACTTACCATTAAGGTCTTCTGAATATTTTAAAACATTATCGAATCATTTTCAATACCGGGTAGAATTATGTATACATTTTTTATAAATCAAACAATCGATAATATGTCATTGAAAAAACTGCAACCAACTTCAGACTGTTGTCATTTCTAAGCCACTCGTCCGACAGCTGTTAAAATTATCCCAGTGACAGCTCATTATATTGTTTACAAGCCTACAGAAGCATTTTGGTGAGAATTTTCCAGAAAAAAACTTTTTCGTGATGGAATTCAAGCGTGATAGTGTGATTTCTTTATATTTGGCTGGAAAACCACAAGTGGCTAACGTTAGAGCACTCCAGCATTTAAATGTGAATAAATCTTTCGTGTCTCGTACCATCGCTAGTTACCGTGATACCGGGTAGCGTAGCCCGATGTCAAAGAGGTGGACGGAAGAAAACAGCAACATCAGCAGAAATGGTTCGAAAAGTAAAGAAGCAACTTGATCGAAACTTGCTTCGCAGTGGCCGAAAAATGGCTCTTGAGCTGAACATATCGCAATATTCCATTAGGCAAATATTGAAAAAAGTGCCAGAACTTACACCGCGACAGAAAGAATATAGACTCAAAAGAGCTAAAGAGTTGCTTAACTTGGTTGTGAACTGCCGAATTTGGTTTTCTCCGATGAGAAAACATTCGTTGATATCAGAATAAATGCCGAATATTATAGCGAAAATATTCTAGAGGGTGTATTAAAGCCTTGGGCACGCAAACATTTCCAACAGGACTCAGCACCATCGCACTCAGCACGTGCCACTCAATGGTTACAAATGAGGTTTCTAGCTTCATTTCCAGCGCACAATGGCCCCCAAAATCTCCGGATACCACTCCGTTGGACTATTGTGTCTGGAGTATTTTGGAAAGCAAGGTTGGCCCTGAAAAATACCAAAGTGTCGATCACCTCAAGCATGCGCTTCGCCGGGAATGGACCAAAATACCGCAGAGCAACATTCGGGCAGCGTGTGACGTTTTCATTGGCCGTTTGAAGGCCATAATTCGTGCCAAAGGTGACCAATTCGAACAAATCTAAACTTATTCTAAAATTTGATGCTATTTCGGACGTGTTTTGCTTTCATTCAATAAAATTAAAAAAAAGTAAAAAAAGCTATAAGTTCGGCCGAACCGAACTTTGAATACCCTCCACCATTTGGAACGAATTTGGTAATTTTCAAAAACAATAAAATCCCTTAAAAATTCTGTTAAAAATCTTAAAAGTAAGGATGTATCTGATGGGGGCTATACGAAGACGTGGATCAGCACAGACAATTTTCTGTCATAGGCTGTAGTATCCATTACGAACTTCAAATGCCAAATTTGAAACAATTCCGTTGAATAATGTAGCTAAAATCATCAAAATACCGTATATCGGGAGGAACCGTTATGGGGGGGCTTACGAAGACGTGGATCTGCACAGACAATTTTCTGTCATAGGCTGTAGTATCCATTACGAACATCAAATACCAAATTTGAAAGAATTCTGGTTAATAATGACCCTAAAATCATCAAAACACCGAATATCTGGAGGTACCGTTATATGGGGGCTATACCTAAACGTGGACCTACATGACCCATTTTCAATTCGAAAAGTTCTGCAGACATAATATACATTTGAGAAAAATTTTATCAATCTACTTCAATTCGTTCGGAAGCTAGAGTGATTTCCACAGACGGATAGAAGGAAAGACAGACGAACATCGCTAAATAGACATAGAATTTTATGCTGATCAAGAATATATATACTTTGTGGGGTCTAAAATGTATATTTCGAGGTGTTACAAACAGAATGACAAACTTAATATATCCTCCATACCATGGTAGAGGGTATAAAAACGTAAAAATTATGGCGTTTGACTTTGTTGCAGTATTTTTATCTCACCCTGTACATAACACCTTTTTTCGCATTTGTTTCTTTTAGGCAAAAATGGAGCACCCCTGCCCTTGTATGTTGATGTAGTTGGCTGTGAGAAAACTCCCTGCAATATGGTCAAAGGAACTACAGCAACTATAAATATTGCTTTTGTTGGAGGTAGATTATTTGTTAAATTACAAACAATAAATATTAATTCCATTCATTTATTTTCCATTATCCTAGATAACAGCAAAAGTTTGTATGCTCAAACTCTAATCGCAATGCACGGAGGTTCAATACTTGTGCCGTTAAATGAAAATGTGGCAAATGTATGTGACAACCTTTTCCTTGGTAAAACTTGTCCCATTGCTCAAAATGAAATGGCTGTATATGTTATGAAATTAGATATTGAAGCATATTTCCCAGAGATATCACCATCGATGCAAATATCATTGGTCAATGAAGAGAGAGAAAAAATTGCATGCTTTACCTTGGATATGAATATAGTGGCCAACAATTCTCTGTAGATTTAGATTTTATTTTTAAAAATAAAATAATAAAAAATTTAATTAAAAAAACTTCACAAATAGTTATTTACCTTCCAATATTTGTGGAATTGAAATATCCGAAATTTATATATGTAAAGTTTTCAACATTTGTATGGCTGATGCCTCAAATTTGGTATTCAGACATGGAACCCGTATTATCGACTAACTTCGTATCCAAATAAATTTAGTATCTTAACAAAACTGCGTGTTCAAAGTGGTTTACCTGTAACGGTAATACAGTTTATTACACTCGCACGTTATTATCCACACAAGGTATGGTGAACAGCATTATCTCTGAAGTGAATTGAAACATTATTGCCGGCATTATGGTAAACAATGTTATCTAAACAATTTGGGAATTCGAATAAGAGTACTAAACGTGCAGTCGTCAGGGCTGTATTTTCCAACGTAGAAGTAGTCACGTGATGGTTGTTTAATAATTGATTTCATATTAAAATGCTGGCTTGTTATTTGCCCATTCGATTTTCGAACAGGGTGCTATCAGATGTTATGTTTATGCCCTACAACACACAGTGTTGTTGCTATTATGTCTTTGTGTATTTGTTTGTAACATGGAGAAGGAAGCGTGTTAGACCCATAGTTGCTTTTGATGATCTTCATAGAATCACATGCCGAGTCGATTTATACATGTCCGTTCGTCCGTCTATCCATGAATTTCTGTAAACAAAGTACAGTTCGCATTTATTTCACTATCAATATAAAATTTTGCACAAAACATTTGATTGATAGATATAGGTTCCGATTTACCTTTTATTGCGCACAAAATATGTAATATTTGTCCCAATTGAGCCTAGAAACAAGTGTGTCGAATTTGGTGGAAATCGCTCTAGTAGTGGGATTATCTAACGCATTTTTTTGAGTTACCGACAAATATCGGCAAAATTAAAACGCAAAATGATGAATGAAAAGTCCAAATTAAAATTGACAAAACTGTTGCTATCGGTAGGACCAAACAAAATGTGAAACAAGTAAAAAAGCTGTAAGTTCGGCCAGGCCGAACTTTTAATACCCTCCACCATTCGGTACAAATTTGTTGATTTCCAAAATATAAAATCCGTTAAAAATTCTGTTAAAATCTTAAAAATACCGAATGCTTATACGACGACGTGGGCAACTTTTGTCATAAGTTATTACAATATTTAAATACGAAACTTGAAGAAAAATCTGTTTATAATGTAGCTAAAACCATCAATATGGGGGGGTACCGTTATATGGGGGCTATACGAAGACGTGAACCTGCACAGACAATTTTCTGGCATGGGCTGAAGTATCCATTACGAACTTCGCATGCGAAATTTGAAACAATCCCGGTAAATAATGTCGCAAAAATCATCAAAATACCGAATATCTGTTTTATGCTGCAGTATCTATTACAAACTTTAAATGCCAAATTTGGAACGATTCCGCTTAATAATGTCGCTAAAATCATCAAAATACCGAATATCGGGGGTACCGTTATATGGGGGCTATATGAAGACGTGGACCTAGATGGCTCATTATTTTACTTATGATGTAGTATCCATTACGAACTTCAAATACCAAATATGAAACGATTCCTGTAAACAATGTCGCTAAAATCATCAAAATACCGAATATCGGGGGTACCGTTATATGGGGGCTATATGATAACTTGGACCTACATGGCCCATTTACGAACTTAACCTGCCTACTGGCAAAATATACATTTCTGTAAAATTTTAGCCTTCTATCTCAATTTGTTGGAAAGATAGCGTGATTACAATAGACAGACGAACATGGCTAAATCGTCTTAGAATTTTACGCTGATCAAGAATATATATACTTCGTTGGGTCTGACATGAGCATTTCGAGGAGTTACAAACGGAATGACACAATTAATATAACCTCCATAGTATGGTGGAGTCGAACTTGGAGAGTTTCTAGTGTTTAATTCGCATATGCAAAATCGCAATAAGTTCGAAATAAATACTACTTTCCACAGATCGGCCCTTGTAAGCCATCATCCACACCAAATATGCCAGATGAGCCGCTTAACCAACGGCGAAACGCGTCGCATAGTGGTGAGTGTGTGATAGTGTCTATCTGGCTTTCCTTTTCACTGCAAATTTCGAATTATTAAGCTCGTCTCGAAAGAGAAACAAACACAAGCACATACGAACGAATTTGGCCTCTTAGAAAATGTATCAAATTTGGTGAAAATCGGTCAAGATATAGCTATAGGTCCCATACATATGTTTCATCACATTTTATATTTTACTTCCTCACACCCATAAAATGCTCTTCACAACAACGATATTTGGTGCTAACTATCAGATACTACAAAGAAATACCTCTGCTAAATTTTATAGAGCTCGGTTCAGATTTGGATATGCCTCCCACATATATCTTCACCCGATGTTATGTTTATTGTGCCTAAAAAGTTTATTATCCGCTCAAATAGGATGGATTTGGAGGAATAATACGCATTCAAAAACGATCTTATTTGGTATGTTTTAATTCTCATAAATACCACATAAAAGCGATCAATTGTTATATGTAGCTCTACGAGTATTATATATGGAAAGTGGTGTAGGGTATAATAAATTCGGCCCAGCCCGACTTTCGAGTTTCTTCACTGGATTTTACATATGTTTGTACAGAAGATATGTTTAAAAGAGCACATCAGAATTGCTAATTTCGAAGAACAAAAATTGTTTTGAGTGCTAATTTGTGCCCTTTTATTCATGTGCCAATTTCAAACATTGCTATGTTTTAAAAACTCTCTAAATTTCTGTAAAAATGCAAATATCGAGGTACAGTAAATTGTGCTGAGTTGTGCTCGCCAACACAATTTTTCTGCTCCAGTCAAACGCGGCATTTCGTTGATGGCAGAGGGGTTGACCAGGGATGGTTCAACCGTGGTGGTCAGCCTTAGTATTATCAGTCAATATATGTAAAATAAATATTTATTTTGATAGGAACAACCGCAATTGCGACTTGAAGAAAGCTCGAATTAAAGCCATAAAGTTAAATTTAATATTTAGAATATAACAAGAGCCAATACACAAAAAATACAAGAAAAAAACCCAATTGATTATGAAAGTAAAGATAAAAATAGAAGACACGTGAGTTGGCGTTTTGAAAGTTTACATACTCTTCCCTATCGTTCCCATTCTTCGATTTTTTTTTAAATCTTCGGACTAATGTTGCTGGTGACTCTTAAATCTTATGTATATTACTAAGAATAATACAAGGATTTTTTGGTCGAAAGTTTTAATCCTCAAAAGTGTCGGCAACTATTTGTTTTGGCCCTTATTTCAAAATCTGGCTAAAAACTCTCTTTAAACGGGATCGTCAATAAATTCTACGATATGTGGCAGCATACGTTAATTAAATCATATCTAACCGAATTCATAAATTGCGACGTGCCAGATTTGAGTTAATTGAGGTCGACTTAGATGTGACTTCCATTACTTGACTTGGCATGGGAGATTTTGTTGGGTTATAATTAAAGATAAAGCAGTTTAAAGATAATGCAGAGCTTATAACTGTACGGTACGGCAATTCCCACAGTAACGTAGTAGTACATATATATTACTGAACGCCGCTATCGCATATTCCTAGAAACTAACCCCATTACCTTCATTATGGGAAACGCTGTTATCACAATAGATATTCGAATTCATAGCTAATAAGAGTTCTAAAAATGCAAGAACATATTTGTATTCTACACTGAAGAGTAATCACATTATGGTCGTTTTCACAAAGTTGGTTGAAATAAGAGTACTGAGGATTTGGATAGATAATAAAAGTGACACTAGCGCGTTGTGAACATTTTCAGAACTTCAATATGTGAATATTGCAGAAAAGAGAAAACGTATTCAGAATATACGTTCGATTTCAAATTTCCTGAATCAACTTGCTTTTTTGAAGGAAATTTGGCTTTGAAGGTTAAAATGATGTAGAGAATTTAAATTCCAAATTTGTACTTCTAGGGTTCAAAAAGAAACCACTAAGCGAGGAAGGTTTAATCTTACCTTATGAAACCAAAAATTAGAAACGTAGGAGAGTTAAAAAACATAAAATTCAGAAAAATGCATGAAATCTTTTTTGAATTGATGTTACGGTCAATATAAATTTCATGTAAATATTTCAAACGGTCCATGCGTATAGCCCAAATTTTGGTATACTCTTCCCAACGTTTCGGCCTGTATTTCGCGAATAAATGCTCCAATGCTGTCTTCCAATGCATCAATTGAAGCTGGCTCGTCTGTATAGACATGAGTTTTGCCACAGAGCCACAAAAGATAGTTTAAAGACGTTTAATCGCATGATCTAGGCGACACATCTCTCCTCTTAATGAGACCATTGTCATGCAAGTCAAGCTATGCATTTGGATTAAAAAAAAATTGGATATCATCTCACTGTTACGTAACAAGCATCCTTGTGGAAGTATGGTCCAATAAGGACACCAGCCCATAAACTGTGAATTTGAATTTTTCTGGATGAATTGGTAGCTTCAAAATCGATAATTCTGCTTATTTACGTACCCTTCCCATCACCCGTTGATGAGCTTCGTAGCTTAGAAAAAAATTTCAAACATTTTACCTTAAAAAAATTTTAAAGTCTTTTTGTAATATGAATAAATTTGGTACTTAATTAATTAAAAAAAAAGATTGAAATGATTTTCATTATTCATTTTTTTTTTTTTTAATAATTGATGGCTTAAAAACTATCCAAATTAAATTTAATTCTGAATGAGTAGTGCTGAAATTGACATATATGTTAGAGAATAATGATATATTTGTCACAGCACCCATGCATTTGATGATTCATTCAATTACTTTTTACATTTGTTCTATTTTACATTCAGAATTTCTCCCACAATCCGTATCACCTCTCATAAATTAATCAATAGGTCATTTTTATTACCATTCGATTTGTTCTAATAATAAATGAAGCAGGGAAAGTCTCGTCGGAAAGAGGAATGTGAAAGTGTA